TCATCCTCCTCCGCCTCCTCTTCCTCCCCCTCCTCCTCTTCTCACCTCCTCCTTCTCCTGCCTCCTCCCCCTCCTCCTCGTCCTCCTACCTCCTCCTCCCTCCTCCTCCTCCTCCTCCTCCTCCTCCTCCTCCTCATCCCGAGAGCTGCGACGCCACGAATCGAAGAAGAGAAAAATATAGAAACATCAACTTTCGGCGCTCCGCGCGGATTCCTCGGATGGGGCCCCCTGGCGGCGCCTCCGGCGCCGCCCCTGGGGCGCGGAGCACGCCAGGGAGGGGGGTCCAGCGCAGATCCAAGAAATCCGCGCGGAGCGCCAAAAGTTTATGTTTCATATAGGGTGTTGGTTCCTCCTAACGAAGGAGCTGCAGCATCGCACAAACCCACGACCTGAGACCTGTAGGCCCGACCGTTCTGCGGCAGCTCTTCGAACCGGGTCGGGATCTGTGATGGCCCGCGGGCCCGAAGACGGCGAGCACGCCCAGCGTGCCACAACTGCGACGTTTCCGGGACGATCGAAATGGGTACGGAATGAATGGGTACGATGCCCAACAGCAGTTCTTGTTCATTTTGAACAGGACTCGCTGTTCGCGCCGCCGCGAACGTGATTCTTTGTTCTGGACAATATTTGTTGTTGGGCATTGTACCCATTTGCTCCGTACCCATTTCGGGCGTCCAAACAGATCTCGGGGAATGGCATCGGCCCTCACCGAGCGCGTTCCACTACTCGCAAAGCGCCGACTCGCAAACGTCAGAAAACCCATGCGTCTGCCTTTGTGTAATCTATATCGTTCATCCCCCGCGGCTGGTTCATGCCATTTGCGAGTAGCTACTTTCGCAGGCCTAGAGGTTGACACCAGCACCAAGATCGGCGGCGTGCCTCCACCGAGGGAAGACGATCCCGATCTCGGTGATGGTGGTAATATTCTGGCTTCCAAGGTGGCCGAAGTATTACCACCAACACCGAAATCGAGGATCATCTTCCCCCTGTGGAGGCAATCCCCCTGTGTTGGTGTTGGCGCCAATTCCCAGGCCTCCAATACTTTGCGGGCAGTGGCACGCGCTGGTCCATCGAGGGCCGAGGGCAGAGCGCTCGCCGCGGCCGCTCGGCCACTTCGAGCCCGCTCGGCGCCGCTCGCCTCGGGCGCTCGCCGCCGCCGCCGCCGCCGCCGCTCGCCGCCTCCCCTCGGCCGCGGCCGCGGCGGCTCGGCCACTTCGGGCCCGCTCCGGCGCCGCTCGCCGCGGCCGCTCGGCGCCGCCGCTCGGCCAGCAGCGCGGCCGCTCTCGAAGGAGAAAAAGCGCCATATGCACATAAACTTGTGGCGCTCCGCGGGGGTTGCCTGGATCCGCGCTGGGCCCCCCCTGGCGGCGCACTCCGCGCGCCAGGGACGGGGGTCCGGCGCGGATTTGGGAGATCTGGCGGGCCGCCAGCAGTTCACGTTTCCGGCGGCTTTTCTTCTTCTGCGCTCGGCGGCGCCGCCGCGGAGGCTCGCGGCTCGGGGCGCCGTGGCCGGCGCCGTGCTGAAGCACGTGCTGCGCTCGGAAGGCGCGGCCGCTGCAGAGGAGGCGCGCCAGGCGCGCGGGCGCTGCGCCGCGTGCCTCTTCTTCATGGGTAACGATCGGGGGGGATGGGCCCGGGGGGAGTGCATCGACCCCCTCAGCTTCGGCGACTACAATAGGGGAACAAAAAGTGACACAAACATAAAAACTCGGAGGTCCGCGCGGATTTCTCGGATCCGCGCTGGACCCCCTGGCGGCGCCTCCGGCGCCGCCCCTGGCGCGCTCCGCGCGCCAGGGAGGGGGTCCAGCGCCGATCCGAGAAATCCGCGCGGACCTCCGAGTTTTCATGTTTAGGCCATTGTCAGTTCCCCAATACAAAGGGTTACGCCGGGGTTTGGTTTGCGATCGGCACCGTTGGGGCCTGGGGGGCACGACACTGTCCTCGTCGGGCCTCCTCGGGGCGCGGGGGAACTCGATCGAGGTCCACGCACGCCCCCCCGGGGTGCCCCCCAGGATGGCAAACCACACCCTTTGCAAACCACACCCTTTGGAGTCGCCGACGGTTGCCCTCTTACGCCCGTGTTGCCGCGTTACAGCGCAACGCTCACCGTGTTCCAATCGTCCCCCTTGAACACGCTGCGCGTTGCTTCGGCACGTGCCGGCCCACGCTTCGGCGAACCTATGGCGCCAGGTCCACGTGCTCGATCTGCGTGTTTAGATCCGTGTCAGCACGCTACAGTGCCGTTTTAAGTGCATGCTCCGCGTGCGGGTCATGTATAAAAAATGCAGGCATTTAGTGCGAAAAACAGCGATGAGGTCATGCACAAATTTATTCATGAATGAATCCTGTAGACAAAAAACCTACAGTTTCGAAAATCCCATGTATTAAAGGCTGCCCTGTACGGGTTACGCGTGCCGTATCGGGGCAGCCAAGTCGACCCCCAGTCGCCCATCGATCGCCCATGGGGGCCCGGCAGCCCACCCCGACCCGGAACGAGCGGCATTCGCCATCGGGGGCCGATCGTTGATCCATCGGCGATGCATCGCCGACTCCGGGTCGATGCTTCCCCCAATTAGCTGGTCCCCATTAGTGTCGGGGGTGGACAGACCTCCTACCCTGACACGTCGACTTAGGATTTGGCCGTTTTCGGCTCGCGAGAGGGCGTCGCGGCCGTCATCTTTGCGGGTCCAGGTCCGTCGGTTTCGGTCCCAGGCCGTTTTAATTAAGGGTAGGTTTACTAAAGGGAGGTTTGTCCACCGCCGATATCGTTCAGCCACGCGCAGAGGGGGGTAGGGGGGGGGAACACTCCTGTCTCTCAGCTCAGAAGGCGCGGGCCTTCTCTGTGGGTGTAAGGCTGGCGCCTTCTAGGGAGCAGCCTCCTGAGAAGCCTTCCCCCCTCCCCCTGCCCCCCCTCTGCGCGCCGCCGAAGCGTTGTCCTTCACTGGTTGTCAGCATCGGAGAACATACAGTCGGGGCCCTGAAGAAGGAACCCTTTTGGTTGGGGAGGGGCTCCGCGTTCCTTCAGTGTTTCACAGCTTGCCTCAGGTTTTCCTTCTGTTTTCGATGGGAAATCGAAGTTAAACTTGTGGAAAAAAGGGGCCTCGTTCCTTATTGAGGGTTCCTTCGGTCAACGCCCCGACTGTATGCCACGCCGTCGTCGCAGGCCTCGAGGTTCGACCGCTTTCCTGCGTCTTTCCCGTCGCTTCTGGCCCTCTTGGGGGGGCGGTGCTCGTCGCCACGGCCGCGTCCGCCTCGGGCTCCTTGGCGGAGCGCACCCCACGGCAGGCTCAGGGATCGACTGCCTACGGCCTTACGGCCCGTGCCGCCGACCCTGACGACGACGACGACGACGACGACCCCAGAACAAGTCCAGGGGTCAACGACGACGACGACGACGACGACGACGACGACGATTACGACGACAACGACGACTACAACGACAACGACGAGTGATGGCGACGACAACAACGACGAAGATTATGACGGCGACGGCGACGACGACGATTGCGACGACGACGACGACGACAACGACGACGACTACAAAACAGGTCCATGGGTCAACGACGACGACAACGACGACTACAACGACAACGATGATGGTAGCGACGACAGCGACGGCGACGACGACGACGACCGCAGAACAGGTCCAGGGGTCACTGTGTTTCCTCCCTCCTGGGCGCGGGCGCTGCGCTGTAGCATGCTCGCGTTGTGAAACAAAAACGGCGGACAGTTTCTTGCAACTTCTGTCCTCCTGTGGCCCTCGCGGGGCCTCGGGGCCGTCAAACGACGACTCGGGATCAAACACCGACCCTGGGGACCTCGTATTGTCTCCAGCGGAAACAAATTCCCAACGTCGACCCCATGTGTGAAAACAATTATATCAGCAAGCCTGGCAGAGTTCTCAGAACACGCCGTCTTCATGACCAGGCAAGAACCCTTTAATCCTGAAGCATGTTGGGGGAAGGACGCACGGGCAGATTCATTTGCGTCGGGCTCCAGGGTGTTCCGAGCAGGGCGCGTTGAGACAACGGTAGCTGGCCTTCTGGGGGGCCCTCGTCGCCACGCGTGGACGCAGCGCTCGGGACACGGGTGCGCCTGGACCCCTGGAGGGGTCTGGGGACCGACTGTAACCTGCGGTCGCCTCGATCTGCCCTGCTCCGCACATTTTTTTGGTCGGCGGGTCGGTGATTCTGACACCCTCCTCCGTGCACCCATTTTGGCTCAAGATGGAAAAGAGATATCTTGTCCATCGACATACTATCTCATCATGGTAGCGTGAGCTGGCCACTCACTGCTGCCGACCCACCAGGGCCTCGGCGCGCCCGCGGGCGCCACGGCGAGCTGGCAAGAGGCTCGAGGCTGGAAGAGGGCGGCATCGGCCGCACCGAGCTCGGCAGCGGCCGAGCAACCGGCAGGGGCCGGGAGGAGTCAACCGGCAGGGGCCGGGAAGAGTGGCCGCAGGCGCGGCAAGAGGAGCGACGAGGCGATCGAGACCAGGCGCAAGCAGCTCCAGTTCAAGCACGACTTGAGGGAGACGGGCAACAAGCTTCACCACCTCGCGTACATTGAGGACCACCCGTCGGAGAACTCATCGGACGCTGTTGAGAGAACGCAGAAGGAAGTCCTAGGCCGGATTACGGACCTCGAACGCACGAGGCAAGAGATAGCGGAGAGCCGGGAGGAGCTCGCCGAGAGACACGCTGTCAAACATGGACGAGCAGGTTCGGCATCAGTTCGAACTGCTGAGGCAGGAGTTCGCGGCTCAAATAGGTCAGGCAGCCGACGAGATGAGGAGGCTGGAGAACGAGAATCAGCGTCTTCAGCAGCAGGTGGCAGGAGGCCTCGCGGCAATCCCGCAGGCGATCGAGCGGATGGGCGAGCAGATCAGAGGCGCGACGAGCGCGGGTGGAGCCGTTCAAGGTCTCGTAGACACCAAGGGGATCGGCAAGCCCACGACGCTGGGCGACGACCAAGAGAAGTTCGGCGCCTGGAATCGCAAGATGGAGAACTACGTGATCGGCGTGTACGGAGAGAGTTTTCGCCCTGTTCTTCGGTGGGCAGCCGAAGCCGAACGCCCCGTGACGATCGAGGGAGCTCGGGCGGTGCACGACGGAGTTCCAGAGCTGGAGACCAAGGTCAACCAGCTGTACGCGGCGCTGATCAGCACGACGGCGGACGGCAGCGAGAGCAACGACCTCGTGACGGGCGCCCCCGACGGGAACGGTCTCGAAGCCTGGCGGAAGCTCCACCGCAGGTGGGATCCGACGACAGGCCCGAGGAAGAGGCTGATCCTGAGGTCGATCATCTCGCCTCCGAAGTGCAGCGCGGACGAGCTGGGGTCCGCCTTAGAGAAGTGGATCCAGCAGATAGGCAGGTACGAACGCCGCCAAGGAGAAGATGGTCTGGCCGAGCTGCCGGAGGATATCAAGATGGCGGCCCTCGAGATGCTCGTGCCTCAGGACATCGAGAACCACCTCGTACTCAACAAGCATCGGCTCGTAACGTTCCAGGACAGTCTGAACGAGGTAATGACGATCGTAGAGGCTCGGACCGGCGTGAAGATCAAGGAGCCATCGATCCGTGCGCGGGCGCATCATCCGGACGACATGGACGTCGGATCGTTCGGAGCCCCGAAAGGCAAAGGCAAAGGCAAGGGCAAGGACGGCAAGAGCAAAGGGAAAGGCAAGACTCAGGAGCCGAAGGGGAAGAGCAAATCGACGAACGGATCATACTCAGGCTCCCGCACATCCCCGACGGGTTCGGGCCGTGGTTCAGGGCACACGGCACCTCGAAGCACCAGCGGGCGCTTCGACGGCTACTGTCGGAACTGCGAGAGATGGGGCCACAAGGCATCCGACTGCTGGAGGAAAGAGCAGGGATCGAGTACGAGGGCTGGAACTGGATCCGCAACGGGGGCAAGCGCTGGTGGTAAAGTCGGTAGCCGCGGCGGCAAGGCCGGCGGCAAGGCGGCAGGCAGCCTGGAGGAGGAGCCTGAAGCGGAGGTCGCCGCTCTGGACATGGGCAGCTTGGACTGCCTGGAGCTCGCCAGCGGCAGCGGCCGCGGCATAGCGGCGGTCGACCTCTCCCCCTTCGCGCAGGACGACTGGATGAAGTTCAACTGGGACAGCGGTGCAGCTATCTCAGCATTCCCTCGGAGCTTCGCGCCGCCGACGGGAATGAAGGGCAACGGCAGCACGTATCGTACGGCCAGTGGTGAGCTCGTCCCGGACGAGGGCAGCTTGCAGCTCAAGGCGGAGGACGAGTACGGAGTGCTACGAGCACTCAAGGGACGCGCGACGAACGTGCACAAGCCGTTGATCTCGGTGGGGCAGGCAGCAGGAGCTGGACAGTGTTCATTCCTGGGTCGCAATGGCGGCTGGATATTCCACGAGAAGAGCCCAATCGGCAAGCGCGTGGTAGGCATGCTCGAGAAGGAGGCGAAGGCGGCGAAGCACCAGATGCTGCCGGTCTATCGCGAGCAGGGCGTCTACAACTTCTACCTCAAGAAGGGCCAACATGGCTCGGTTGCTCCTCTCGAGGAGGGACTTTCGGCGAAGTCGAAGTCCGAGCTAGTGGAGCTCCTCAGCGGCAAGTCGAAGGAGGAGCTGCTGGAGATCCTCGAGAAGACAGTCCCCAGGAGGCAGCCCTCGGCGTAAGCCCACTGGAGGACTTAATACCACGGCCCCCGGCGGCATCGGCTGCGGGGGCGGCAGCGGCGGGGTCGGGACCTTCCGACGTGAGACCGCCGGGTTTTCAGCCAGCGGCAGCTGCTGCGGCCGACGCTTTGCCAGCTGCTCCTGATGGACAGCAGGCCGACGAGGGCGAGGAGGAGGCTCGCCCGAGAGTGCTGAAGGCACCTCATGAGCCCTCTCAGAGGGAGATCGACGAACACGAGGCGATGGGACACGCGACTTATCGCAGCTGGTGTCGCGTGTGTATTGCGGCAAAGGGCCAAGGCCAGCCGCATCTCCGCGCACCGGAGGACGACGAGACGGCGGTGCCGGTGGTCTCGTCCGACTACGCCTTCATGGGCCAGGACGACGCGGACACCATGCCGATGCTGGTACTTAGGGATCGGCGCTCGAAGATGATGGCGGCGACATTCGTGGAGAAGAAGGGCGACGACGCCTACGCCATCAAGTTCTTCGCACGCTTCTTGCGGATCCTGGGCTACAGGAAGATCGTCAACAAGTCCGACGGCGAGCCGGCGATCCTGTTGGTCAAGAGGCGTGCGGTGGAGGAGGTTCCTGGCCTCGAGGCCATTCCCCAGGAGTCGGCACCGGCCGATCATCAGGCCAATGGGGAGATCGAGGTCACGGTGCGCGAGATTAAGAAGCAGGTGCGGGCGCTCAAGATGGACCTGGAGTCCAAGCTGGGCGTCAAGGTGGAGGACAAGCACCCGGTGCTAGCGCACCTGCCGGAGCACGCCGCATCGGTAATCAACCGATACCGGCGCGGCCAGGATGGCAAGACCGCTCTCCAGCGGCTCACGGGACGGCAGTGGAGGAAGCCGGTCCCGCTCTTCGGCGAGCGCTTGATGGCGCGGTTCGCCGGGGAGCGCGCGAGGAAGAACGCGCTGGAGGAGCAGATGGTGGAGGCTCGCTACATCGGCCACCACCCGCGCGACGGCTCGATGATGGTCATCACGAGCGACGGCGCGAAGAAGGCGGTAGGCTTTCGCAGCCTGCCGCAGAGCGAGAAGTGGATCACGGCGGGCTGGGATGGCCTGAAGGGCCTGCCGTGGGACGTGGCTCCGCGTGCGGCAAGCGCGCCGCGGGCCATCGTCGGACCTGGAGAGGTCGGACCGCCACCAATTGTGGTGGTGTCGCCGCAGCCGCAGGCGCCGAGGAGGATGTACGTCCTCAAGGCGGACGTCGAGCGGCTGGGCGCAACGCCGGGATGCCCAGGGTGCGTCTCGATCGCCAAGCACGGCAAGGTGCTGGCTGGCCATGCGCACAACGCGGTGTGCAGCAAGAGAATCTTCGAAGCGCTGGACGCTGAGGAGGCAGGCCGGGAGAGGACCGGCCAGTATCGAGAGCGGAGGCAGGGCCAAGAGGCCAGAGTCCGACCAGCGGCAGCGGCCGCGGCAGGGACCCCTCCGCCGAAGACGGCTCGGAGGATCACCGAGCCGGTGGCAGCGGCGGCGGCGGCATCGGCCGCGCCGGCCGCGACCCGATCGGCAGCAGCGCCAGCCGCGGCAGCCGCAGCGGCGCGCATGCGAGAGAGCCAGCCGGTAGCATCGGGCTCCGGCGGGGCGGCTCCTTCAGGAGGAGCGAGCTCCAGTTCGGGAGCAGTGCGAGCGGCAGAGGCCGCCGAGGATGTCGACATGACCGCGACCAGGTCGCGGCTGAAGCGCTTGGCGGAGGTGGCCCCGGATGACGTGCCGGAGGCCCTCGAGCGCGGTGATCCACAGCCGGCAGACGTGCCGGTACCGGTGGACATGGAGGATCTCGCGGCGCAGCCGGCGCCAGCGGAAGGACCTCAGCTGCCAGCTGGAGTGGCAGTCGTGTGGAACGCCAGTGAGGGGAGGCACATGCGGGTGCTCGCCCTCGATGTGGCGTCGATCGAGCTGGTTGAGCTCGGAGTGCTGACGAGAGCGAAGGCGGAGTTGCTCCCGCTCGTTCGCGAACAGGTCAGCGGCCATTGGGCCAGCGTCGGCGTGGACATCGCCGACGAAGAAGTGGATAGCATCGCCCTATCGGCGTTGCAGCTGGGCGCCGTGGACGTGGCCGAGGTGTACTCGCCACATCGGTTCTCGGCTCGGGCAGCGGAATTTCAGCTGCGCCCGGGCTTCGCGGCGGACCTGGAGGAACTCAAGGAGGACGGGGCGCCGTGGGACTTGCGGCGCCCCGAGGATGTCAAGGAGCTCGAGAAGCAGCAGGAGCGGATGGATCCCATCCTGCTCACGGGGTCCCCTCCATGCGAGAAGTTCAGCTTGCTGAGGGGCCTGAGCGCCAAGTTCAGGACCGATGAGCAGGAGGCGGCTGAGATGGAGGAGGCCAGACACCACCTGAAGGTGGCAGTCGACGCCTACTGGCGTCAGCTCAGGAAGCCAGGCAGGTACTTCCTGCATGAGCATCCCTGGAGCGCGCGATCGTGGAATGAGGACATCGTCAAGGAGCTGGTCGCGCATCCAGGAGTCTTCACGGTCAAAGGCCCCATGTGTCGGTGGGGCATGAAGCTCACGAACCCACGCAGTGGTCAGGAGGAGTTCGCGCGCAAGGAGACCGGATGGGTCACCAACCATCCAGGCTTAGCCCGGAGGCTGCAGGGCACTTGCAGCAATGTGGACGGCCGCGCGGAATGGCATCGCCACATCACGCTCGTGGGCGGCATCGCGCGGTTCGCGAAGGTCTATCCACCGAAGTTGGTAGAGGCGGTGCTGGAGGAGCTCAAGGACACGCTGAATGACGTGGGAGAGCTCAGCACCGCCCAGGTGCAGCAGTCGGGCCCAGTCCCTGTGGACGCGGCAGTGCCGCCCGGGGACTGGACGAGTTACTGGGACGACGTCAATGGCGGCTACCTGGAGGCGGGCCTTGTGGCCCAGGCTCGCGCGGTCGAGCGCGAGTGGGTCAAGAAGCAGGAGCTGATCGAGATCGTCCCGAGGTCTCAGGCTTTCGCCGAGACTGGGCGTCCGCCCATCCCACTCAAGTGGGTCGACACGAACAAGGGTGACGCGGAGAGGCCCAACTACAGGAGCAGGCTCGTCGTGAAGGAGATCAAGGCGAAGAAGCGCCCCGACGAGCAGCTGGAGGCGTCCGAGGTCTTCTCGGCCATGCCTCCTCTGGAGGCCATGCGGTCGCTGGTCTCGCTGATGGTCACGTGGACGCGGGAAGCACCGCTCCACATTCAGGAGTCGCTTCGCAAGAAGGGCAGGAAGCCGGGCAACTTCAAGATCGGCTTCTTCGACATCAGCAGGGCGCACTTCTACGGGAAGGCGCAGCGGAGGATCTTCGTAGAGCTGGAGGAGGAGAGTCGCAAGGAGTACGGCGAGGACAAGCGCGGCCTACTCCTCAAGTCCTGGTACGGCACGCAGGACGCCAGCAAGATCTGGCAGGGCGACTACACGGAGCTGCTGGAGGAACACGGCTACAAGGCGGGCGTGTCGTGCCCAGCGGTCTTCTACAAGGAGGTGGACGAGACGAGGCTGCTGGGGCACGGCGACGACTTCGCGGTGCTGGCTCAGCAGCAGGACATCGACAGCTTCGAGGCCACGCTGGGCAAGAAGTACGAGTTCAAGAAGACTGCGAACCTAGGCTTCGACGAGGGCGATGACAAGCAGGCGGTCTTCCTGAATCGGGTCATCGAGGTCAGTGCGGGAGTTCCGCCTGGCGGTGGCCGGCCCTGCCGGCATGCGATGATCGAGCCGGACAAGCGGCACGCGGAGATCGTGATCGACGAGTTGGGTCTCAGCAAGGCCAACGGCGTGGACACGCCGATGGAGAAGCGCAGCGCCGACAAGCAGATGATGGATGCGAAGTCGGCGGCGTTGGGAGCAGCGGAAGCTTCGCGCTTCCGATCCCTCACCATGAGGGTGGCCTACCTGTCTCAGGACAGGCTGGACTTGGCAGAGGCATCAAAGACGCTCGCTAGGTCCATGCAGACGCCAACGGAGGCGAGTTGGCTCATGCTCAAGAGGGTTGGCCGCTACCTCAAGCGGCATCCTAGCACGGTGACGGTTTTCACGGAGCAGAAGATGTTCGACAAGATCCGGGTGTACGTGGACTCCGATCATGCGGGCTGCGCAGTCACCCGGAAGAGCACCGGAGGCTTCGTGGCGATGCTGGGGCATCATGTCGTCAAGCATGGCAGTAATCTGCAGTCGACGGTTTCTTTGAGCAGCGGAGAGAGCGAGTACTACGCCCTGGTGAAGGGCGGGAGCGTGGGCCTGGGCCTTCACAGCCTCTTCGCGGACTGGGGGCTGGACCTGAAGGTAGAGCTCGCCTCGGATTCATCGGCGGCCCGGGGCCACGTCCAACGGCGGGGTCTCGGGAAGATGCGACATGTTCAATCACGATACTTGTGGATCCAGGAGCGCGTGGGTAAGGGCGACCTCTCGATCGCCGCGGTTCCTGGTAAGAACAATGTCGCGGACGTGCTGACCAAGAGAGTGGGTGGATCCCTTTTGAGGAGACACATGGCGACGCTCAACATCTGGGATCGGACACCGAGTTTGACTCAGAAGGACTTCAAGTGATGGAGTGGATCGAATCCATGCTCCGCTACCTGTGGGGCTGGATGAGGTTCCGCCGGCGGCGGTATGATCGCGCCGGACGGAGTGAGGGGCTCGCGGCATGGCCGCAGCCTAGCTGAAGAGATGGGCGCGTCGGCTTGGGCGCGCCCGCGTACGACGTAGGTCGTGCCTGGCCGGGTTGGCGGCCAGGCCCGAGGAGGAGTGATTCTGACACCCTCCTCCGTGCACCCATTTTGGCTCAAGATGGAAAAGAGATATCTTGTCCATCGACATACTATCTCATCAGTCGGGAGCGGGCCCCTTCCGGTCAAGAGCTAGGCGGGGCGCGCGAAGCCCTAATTGAAGAGACAGGGCGCGGGCGGGCGGGGCCTTAGGCGGCCGGAGGGTGCAGAGTACAGGCGGTGCCGAAGATCTTGCACAGGACCCCTGCTCCGCACACGCGAACCTTCGCTGGCTTCGCGAGCATGCACGGCGCGAGCGTCCCTAGCGCAAAGCTGGCCTCGCGGAGGAGGAGGGGGAGGAGGGGGAGGAGGAGGAGGAGGAGGAGGAGGAGGAGGAGGAGGAGGAGGAGGAGGAGGAGCAGGAGGAGGAGGAGGAGGCCTCCGTCCGTCCGCGCAAAGGGGGCCGTGCCTCGCGCGCGTGGCGGGGCGCGCGCGCGCGCCTCGCTGGGCCGGGCCGCGCCTCGCTGGGCGTGTGCGCCGTGGCCTCTCCGCGTCTGCGGCGTCGCGCCCCCTCGCGGCGACGGCAGCGGCGGCGACGCCCGGGGGCGGCGGACGTCGGCGACGGTTGCCGGCGGCGGCGGCGATCGCGGCGGCGACGGCGGATGCGACGGCGGCTGCGACGTCGGTGGCGGCGGCGGCGGAGAGGACGGCAGGCGGCGGCGGGGGAGACGACGGCGGGCGGCGGCGTCGGCAGCGGCGCCCTTCGGTCGTGGCTGGCCCCGGAAGTCCCACTGCCAGCCGCCTCGGCACCGTGGGGCTGCTCTTGGAGTTGCCTCCCTCCTCCTCTTCCTCGTCCCCCTCCTCGCCCTCTTCCTCCTCATCCTCCTCGTCCACCTCCTCGCCTCTTCCTCGTCCTCCTCGACCTTCTCGTCGTCCTCCTCCTCGTGCTCCTCCTCCTCCTCCGCGTCCTCCTCCTTCTCGTCCTCCTCCTCCTTCTCTTTCTCATCCTCCTGACCGCCCCCCTCCCCCTCCCCCTCCCCGCCGCCCGCTCTCTGCTTGCTTCGAGTAAGTAAGACGGCATGCGCCTGAAGCGTTCCAGAAGGGTGCCCGCCTTCGACGCTCGAAGGAGTTCCCATCTCTTTCTCGGCGGAAGGCGGCGGAAGGTCGGCGTAGGCCGGCGGAAGTGGAACGGGGCCGGCTCCGCTGGCGGAAGGCCAGCGGAAGGTGGCGGAAGAAAAAGAAGCGCCCCCCCCCCCAGGAGATGCGAGTCTCGGGGTCTCGGAGTTCAGCGCGGAGCCCCGACAGTTGATGCTTATGCAGCTGGTGATGGCCCTGCTGCTGCTACTTCTCAGCATCAAAGGCTCTTGGAGTTGCTTCTGTTCCACGCCGTGCTCCTCGGCACCAGCATGTCCTAGGGCCTGTGCCACACCATTCTCCTCCATCCCCGTAGAGTCAAGATGTTGATGTAAGAAACCGTTTGGGTTCGGAAGGGGCTCGTTGTTCCTGATGGATCCGTCCATGGTCGTTCCTCTAGCGCTTCTTGTGCTCACAGGCGCCTCTTTGTGGTCCAAAACGAAGGGGCTTTGTTCCATATGTGGCGTTCCTTGTAGTAGTACCTGCACCGTGGCGAGTCCTCCGCCCAGTGGGCCACCACTTTCTCAGAGATCCACGGTACACCCCCCTTGCTCGAGCAGGAGGTCCGAGGTGCTTGTATCCATTGGATCGCCTGTATCCGTGGCATCAGCTGTGTCCATGGGCTCGCCTACGCCCGTCGGATGTCCCGAGTGGAACGTACTCCGGTGGGATCGCCAAGATCAATGGGGTCGCGCCTAAGGACATGCTCGTCGCCCGTGATGTCCCCGATGCCCCCCCATTCGAGCCCCTCAGGGGTAGCGACAGTGGGCGCTGGGCTCCGAAGGGGGAATGCCTCGACCACCAATCGGCCACTCATCCCCGATGGGTGCCTGATGGCCCAACCCGCCCAGGAAGGGGCGGTGTTGCCATCGGGAGGCCCGTCGCCTGGTCCGTCGGTGGCATCTCGCCGATTCGAGTTCGACGCTCGCCCCCCCAAGCTGGCCCCGGCCCATCGTTCCCCCCCGGTTGCACTCCCCACAAGAACCGAGAACGTCGAACGATCTCGGCCTTGGATCCTCGTGGAGGCCCAGTCCGCCGCCGATATCTCCATCCGCCGCCCTGCGACAGAGCCGCTCAGGACCCCAAGCATCGGACGTCGTGATTTTCGTCGCAACGTGCCCCTCAGATGTCTGGACCCTGTGACCCCTGCCTGGGGACCGGGTCTTCATCCTGCGTAGTTTGTTGACGGTACCGGGGCCCGGTTGGAGCCCACGGAGGCGGAAAATTATCAAACATTGGCCGAACGGTTGGTTTCTCGTCGTCTGCGCCAGAGGTTTCTGGGAGGTCGTTCTTTCACCCCTTCGCCCCCACAGCGCCCGAGGCCTCCCTGCTGCGGGTGGCCTCCTCTGGCTGGAGGACCGCCGCGGACCTCGCCCAGCTCGAGGCGCCGCGGCGCGTCACGTGCGGAGCGAGAGGCCTGGGTGCCCAGATCTCCTACGGTATGATGTTTGTCAACCGGCTTATTCTTGTTAGGGGGAGTTCGGCCCTTGGGCCACCAGGGATAAAGAGCCCCGCACCCGAATGACACACACGGGCGGTAACATAGTCTTGACCGTAACATGTCATCGGCCGAGACCCCCCGCCCCCCGTAGAATCTCAGCGAAAGGTTTCTGGTCCGGCTGCGGTTCCGAGCCCAGGGGCTCGCACCCTGGAATAATAATATTAATAATAATAATAATAATAATGATAATAATAATAATATACAAATACGTACTCCAGATTTCGTAATAAAGGGAGGGGGGTCTCATTTCGGGGGGGGGTCTCTTCCAGGCTATCTTGGAGGGCCTGGGGGGTCTGGGGACGATGTTTTGGAGGGTTCTCCCACGGGGGAGGTCTGAAATGGCTTGTCTTGCAGGGTCCATACCCCCTCCCTTTTATTATGAAATCTGGAGTATTAAACATGGTGATCATCAGTCTGCCGCACAGAACATGGGATGGGAAATCACTCCGTCCTGGCCCGACTCACAGCCGATTTCTTCCAGGTGATCGTCACAGTCGGCTTCTTCGTCATCTGCGCCGTCGTCGTCGTCATGCCCGCAATGCTGTGTTGATTCAGTGTGTTCGTCTGCACGTTGAGGCCGAGTGACCCTGGACACCCTTATCCAACGAAGTCGCTCGTGCTTCGGCTGCAGTTTCCCCAGAGATTTCACGAGGGCTTCCAGATTGCAGATGGGGTCACGTTTGCGTCTTGAACCGGTCATCGGCGGCATGCGGCGCCTTCTGACTTTTGTTAGCCGACGGTCAAGAACCTTAGCACCTGGCAATAAACGACGTGGCCTCACTGAGATCCCCGTCTTCGCATGAGGGGTGATCGAATTGGGAGGTGTGGTCTGATACGTCTGCAGAAACAGACCCCCTTATCCCTAATATTCTGGTCCTCCTAAATTAGGTACCTTCCCACATGGTTAGACGTATTTTCTTTTGCTCATCATTGGGTGCCGTCTTCAGGCCTCAGGGAAATCAGAAGTGAGCCAGTAAAGGAAACCTGCATTGGGGGAACGGTAGGGGCCTCTTGGGCCGCGCATCGGTTCAGAGGGGGAGGAGGAGGAGGAAAAGGAGGAGGGGGAGGAGGAGGAGGAGGAGGAGGAGGAGGAGGAGGAGGAGAATCAGGAAGAGGAGGAGGAGGAGGAGGAGGACTCTGAGACGGTACGTTTCCTTGAGAGGGGGAACGTCCCCAGGTGGTTGGGCAGTAGACGAGCAGCCACCTTAGTGGGCCTGATGGCCCGCAGCGAGCTTCGGATCGCTCCTGTTTCGGGCGTGTTGTGCCAATTGGGGAGTGCAGTGGCACAGCGTACCCGGCTGGGGGCACGCGTCATGCTGTACCCTAATGGACGGGGTACGGGTTCATTCACAGCCCGCCGAAGCGGGCTCTGCGGGTGACCTTGGGGCGCGAGCGGGAATCAAGAGGCAAAGGATGACAAGCAACGGGGCGGGGCAGACGATGAGAGATGTTGCCAGCCTGGACCGTGGCAGGATCAGAGGGTAGCTCCAGGGCCTTGCGTCCTGAAGCTTAACTTTAGGGTGCAATTTATTGTCTACATAGGCCCAAACCGCTGGTATAGATTTGAGACCCATTCCGTGCGACACGCGGCGCGCCACCGTGTCTTGAGCCAGAATGGCTATGGTAACCTTTTTGGCCCCTACCTGGTGCCGCCGATTGTTTGGTAGTGTGTGTCCTACAGAGCTTCAGCTCGCGCCCACCATACTCGCAGCTCAGAGGATGGGAGCAGTTCGCAAGGACACCGGACATGTGATCAAGACTCGTCCGCGACGCAGGATTACCCATTATCGAGGTCGCTGGACCTCAACGGATGAACGCACCGCCTGGACCTCGAGGGTACTGTTTCGCAGGTCACAGAATACGTAGCACCGCGCAATTGCGGATAAGAGTGAGGGGGCGGCGGGGACGTCTGCAGTCTGCGAGGCTCTGGAGAAGCCCGCCGCAGGCGCAAAAAATTCAAGCTATACAACGAGCCCGCCGCAGGCGCTTATTTCTTGTTAACACAATGTAGGTGGGTCGCGGGTTGGGTCGCGGGTGGGTCGCAGGTGGGTCGACGGTGGGTCGCGGGTGGGTCGCGGGCCAGGTCGCGGATGGGTCGCGGGTGGGTCACGGGTGGGTCGCGGTGGGTCGCGAGCGGATCGCGGGGTGGGTCGCGGATGGGTCGCGGGGTGGGTCGCGGGTGGGTCCCGGGCCGGATCGCGGGGGGG